TGTTCCCCAGACTCCAACTAGCCTCTGGCTTATTTCTGGAGGCCCCACTCCTCTGACGCTGCCGCCGCGCTTTGTTACAAAACGTGCGTCCCTGTAAACGTGTCCACCTGCACACGTGCGCCCTGTGCAAGCATGTATTCGTGTGCAAAGCATGGACTGGTGCTCATCTGCAAATTATGCGTCTATGTGTTCTTATGCAAAATAGGTCGTACACAAAACATGTGTTCATGCGTGCAAAACGTGTGAACATGTACAAAACGTGCCCAGCTGCCAAAACTTAGATCCCTTACATTGAAAGCTCCTGAGTTCTTCCATGCATTAACTTTCAAGAAATGCTTTCTGCCAGAACTAGTGTTTATAACCTTTGGTTGGTTGGTTGTTTTTTGTCTTTGAAGATTAATGGAAAATTTCAAGTCGTCCACATCCAATTTTTTAAAATCCTTTCCCTTACAATTTTTAATTCAGTGTGTCACTTAAACTCTTAGAGGATGAAACTGGGGCACAAGCCCAGCAAAAATGAGGAAGCTGTTTCCCAAATGATTCTGAGTCACTGGACTTGTTTTGTTTTGTTGCAAAACAGCTTCCAATATTCAAAAGACTTGACCTTGCCAACGTTCCTTGCAACCTCATCTAGAGTCTGCACTCACTCCGACGTGTACTTCGCACAAATGTAGAAGTTATCTGGACTCAAAATATTAGCAGGTGTCCTAAAAATATCAGTTAAGAAATACTGGAAGGTGAGGACTAGTAAAGAGCAGAGGGTTTCAGCTCTTCCTCCATGAAAGGCCTCTTCCCAATGACCCAACTCTTTTTCTGCTATCCAGACCCCATACCCCGTATTTAGGAGGCACAATCCTGGGAATTCAGAGTTCCAGGCCTGGTAATGAAATTTCTAGCCTATGTTTACCATACCATTTTTTTCCCACTTGTCTACAAAAAAAGGTTCTAACATTTTTCTTGCAAGTTTTCTGCCTTTTCTTTAACTAAATTTAATAGAATTTTTTAATCTTCATTTTTTTAAAGATTTACTTGTTTATTTGAAGGGCAGAATTACAGACAGAATGAAAGACAGAGAGAGAGGTCTTCAATCTGCTGATTCATTCCCCAAATGACCACAATGGTTGGAGTTGGGCCAATCTGAAGCCAGGAGGTAGGAGTTTCTTCCAGTCTCCCAAAAGGGTGCAGGGGCCCAAGCACTTGGGCCATCTTCTGCTGCTTTCTCAGGCATTAGCAGAGAGGAGCAACTGGGACTTGAATCAGAATCCATATGGGATGCTGGCACTGCAGATATATGCTTAACTTATTACACCACAGTGCCAGCCCTGTAAATGTAATGGATTTTTGAATTGAAATATTTGCTACAGGATGTTATGTTTTCCACTGTGATAAAACCACATATGTTTGTATTTTCTTTAATATTTCTTCCTTGACAAAGTATTGTCTAGATCTGAGTACATATCAAATAGTGTTATACAAGTATTTGCCAAATCAGTTAGAAGGCAAATATTTGCTTATGTTCTATTTTTTTTCTGGCAGTGTCTTGCTTGATTTCAACATTTTAATGCAGAAAAGCTTTTTAAAATTTCTATATAATCTTGGGGTAGGTGTCAGGGCACAGTGGGTTAGGCTCCTGATTGGTACACCCACATCCCATATCAGAGTGCTGGTTTGATTTCTGTCTATTCCACTTCCAATCCAGCTTCCTGTTAGCGCAAATGGGAGAACAGTGGATGATGGCACATGTCGCCACTTGGAGACATGAATGGAGTTCCAGGCTCCTAGCTTCCACCTGGCATAGCCCTGGCTGTTGCAGGCACTTGAGGAGTTAATCAACAAATGGAAGATTCCTCTCTATCTCTCTCTCTGTTTCTTTATCACCCTGGCTTTCAAAAAGTAAATAAATAAATTTTAAAAATAAAGTTTCAGTGTAATCATAAATATAATCCCTGGAAACATTTCCTTTTTCTTCAGTGTTCAGAATATATTTCTCCACCAAAAACCAAAATATGTATATTATTATGTTCTGTTCTGTTGTTAAGGCTTTAACAATCTGGAATTTGTTGTAAAGTATAGAATGAAAATATAGGATCTAGGTTAATTCCTCTTTAAACTGAAATGGAATGTTCCAAAGTATTAATTTTATAGCAATCCACTTATCTATGTTGTGTTAATCTCCTATTATTCATTTAACAATATTTACTGATTATCTAATCTAAGGTACACAATTTTTAAACAATTATCACATGGGGTTTCTAAAATGACTGTCATTGTATAAGATTATGATTTTTTTGTTAGAGTTTCAGAATCTGTTAAGAGTGCTTCTAGAAAAGTGGCATATATAGGTATTCCCCACTCATGGCAAATTGCGATTAATGAGTTAGATTGCCTCCCAGGTAGCAAGACTTTCTACAATACAGTAATTAAGACGGTATTGAATATAAGGCAGAATTATAAGGGAGAGTCCCCCAGAGATAGATGCACTCACAGGAGAGAAACTGGTATTCAAAAAAAAAAAAAAAGATTGGAAATCTGGGGGAAAGGAGGACTCATTCAATAAATAGTACGGAGTTAAAGTCTCCCTTTAGGAAAAATATGAGATTTGCTTCATACTTCATATCATACTTAAAAATTAATTACAGGTGGCTGGAACAACTGAGTGTGAAAATGTGAAAACCAAAAAAGTGATTACAAAATGGGAGGAAATTGTTATGACATCAAGAGCAAGAAGGGTTTCTTATGAAAGGTACAAAAGCACAAGACATAAAGGAAACTCTTGGCTGGCTTGGCTATGTTAAACTTTGGTAAGACAAAAGACACATAAGCAAAATGAGAAGCTAAGACACAGATGGAAAGATTTTTGGAACTCAATTTAACTAATGAAAGATTAATCTCCAGTACAACCTAATGGATTTCTACACATCAGTGAGAAAAACATAAATCAACAAAATATTAAGCAAAGGACATGAATAGACAACTTACGGAGAAATAAAATGACATGTTAATAAATATTTGGTATGCCAGTAAGATGCCATTTTATATCTATTGACAAAAATGTCAAAATTAGGGCAGGCATTGTGGTACAGCAGTTAAGTTGCTGCTTGAGAAAGTCACATCCCACATCACTGCCTGGTTTGAGTCCCAGCTCCTCTTCCAATTCCAGCTTCCTGCTAATGCACACCTTGGGAGGCAGCAGGTGAAAGCTCAAGTACTTTGGCCCATGCCATCCACGTGGGAGACTGAGATGGCATTGTGGGCTCCCGACTTCAACCTGGCCCGCTCCTGACTGTTGCAGGCATTTGAGGTATTTGGTAGTGAACCAGCAGATGGAAGATATTCTCTCTTTCTGCCTTTCAAATAAATAATAATAAATAATTGAAACTCTTTTAAAATGTTAAATTTTGAAAGTAATGGGGTTTAGTGAGAATGTGAGGAAATAACAAACTCATACATAATGAATATTTTCATTGAGCTTTGCCTAAAACAATCATGGTTTAAGCCACTTGTCACAAAGAATCGAGTCATGCCTCCTTTCATGTTGAAAGTGTCCTGGCTTAGATGATAAGTTATATTTTCACCCCACAAACCCTGTGACAGAACATTTCCTTCTCTCCCCCAGGGAGGCTCTGAGGGGGTGGATCTTCACTTACTCAAGTAATAGAGGAAAAAGGGAGAAGCCATCAAATGGTGAAAGAATCAATCAACTGTGCTATTTCATGAGTTCAGAATGAACTACATTCACATGTGTTGATCTGAATAAATATCAAAAATGTTTTTAAAATTTTGGGCCGGCATGTGGTGTAGTGGGTAAAGCCCACCACCTGCAGTGCTGGTATCCCATATGGGCACTGGTTCAAATCCTGGCTGCTCCACTTCCAATCCAGCTCTCTGCTATGGCCTGGGAAAGCAGAAGAAGATGGCCCAAGTCCTCAGGCCCCTGCACCTGCATGGAAGACCCGGAAGAAGAGATCTTCCATTCATCAGTTCACTCCTCAAATGGCTGCAACAGCTTAGACTTGGCCAGACTGAAGCCAGGATCCAGGAACTCCATCCTGGACTCCCACATGGGACAAGGCCCCAAGCACTTGGGCCATCTTCTGCTGCCTTCCTATGTGCATTAGCACAGAGAGATGGATTAGAAGTACAGCAGCTGGGATTCACACCAGCACTCCGATTTGGGATGCTAATGTTGTAAGCAGCGACTTAACCTACTGTACTGCAAAGGCAGCTCTGAAGGATATCTTATGAATGATACTAAAAGCAAATTAAAAGAATAGAGGCCGGTGTTTGACCTAGTAGTTAATGCCACCAATTATGATGCCCTGGTCCCACATCAAAGTGCTTGGGTTCAATGCTTGGCTGTGCTCCTGATTTCAGCTTCCTGCTAATGTGGACCCTGGGAGGTAGCAGTGATAGCTCAAGTAGTTATTTTCCTGCCATCCATGTGGGAGACCTAGATTGAGTTACCAACTCCAAGCTTCAAGCCTCCTCTCCACACACATACACACATCTTCTTGGCTTTGCAGGCATTTGGGAAGTGAACAAGCAGATGGGGGTTCTCTCATGCTCTCTTGCTCTCTCTGTGTGTCTCTCAAATAAATGAATAAAAATTAAAAATCATAACATGAAGAATCGTCATAAATTTAGACCAAATATATCTGTCATGTTAATATGTTAATAGAAACAGGTGAACAGGCCAGCGCGGTGGCTCAATAGGCTAATCTTCCGCCTGCGGCGCCGGCACACCAAGTTCTAGTCCCAGTCGGGGCGCCGGATTCCATCCCGGTTGCCCCTCTTCCAGGCCAGCTCTCTGCTGTGGCCAGGGAGTGCAGTGGAGGATGGCCCAAATACTTGGGCCCTGCACCCCATGGGAGACCAGGATAAGTACCCGGCTCCTGCCATCGGATCAGTGCGGTGCGCTGGCCGCAGTGGCCATTGGGGGGGGGGTGAACCAACGGTAAAGGAAGACCTTTCTCTCTGTCTCTCTCTCTCACTGTCCACTCTGCCTGTCACACACACACACACACACACACACAAAAGAAAGAAACAGGTGAATTAACCATTCAAAGGAAAACTCAATTTGGGTTACAAGGGGTATAATAAATAAAACAGCAAATTAGAAAATATTCCAGAAAATATTCTAAATAGCTGGATGATATATATTTTTAATGATTTATATATTTATTTATTTATTTGAAACAGTTACAGAGAAAAGGAGAGATAGAGAGAGAGCTCTTCAATCCACTGGTTCACTTGCCAAGTGGCCACAAAGGCCAGGGCTGGGCTAGGCTGAAGACAGGAGCCAGGAGCTTCTTCTGGGTCTATCACATGGGTGGCAGGGGCCCAAGCATTTGGACCATCTTCTGCTGCTTTTCCCAGGCAATTAGCGTTGAAGTAGATCAGAAATTGAGCAGTCAGGAAAGGAACCAGTGCCCATATAGAATGCCAGCATTGTGGACAGTGACTTTACCCACTATGCCACAACACTGGCCCCTGTGGCTAATATATTAGTACATCATCAACTATAGAAAGCAGATGATAAGAAGACACATTAACATCTAAATGACAAAGGCAAAACAGATTGTGATGTTTCAGTTCCTTCTGATGAAATATGTGGTAGGTACCATGTGCTAGATACTTTATATAGGATATGGTTAATGCTCAACAAACCATACCTACATGGAAGAACTGTTATTGTTTTCACAGGGAGGGGAACTAAATGTAGGAAGGTTTGACTTTCTCAAATTGCACCTACCAGATGTCAGAGCCAAGATTATAATCCAACTTGATCTACCTCCAGAGCCCTCAGTTTACTAAAGAGGAAACAAAATTGTTTGACCATAACATACTGGAAGCTCTTTGGCCTCAACACTAATCAAGCTCTCAGTTATGCTGAGCCTTCTTTTATTTTTTTAAAATTTATTTATTTTGTTTTATTTATTTGAAATGCAGTTTCAGAGAGGGAGAAGGAGAAAGAGGGAGAGACAGAGGGAGAGAGAGAGATCTTCCACCAGCTGATTCACTCCCTGAATGGCTACAACAGCTAGGACTGAGCCAGGCCAAAGTCGAGAGCCTGGAACTTCATCTGGGTTTCCCATGTGGGTTCAGGAGCCCAAGGACTTGGGCCATCTTCCACTGCTTTCCGATGAACGTTAGCAGGGAGCTGGATTAAAACTGAAGTAGCCAGGACTCAACCGGGCACCCATATGGGATGCCAGCACTGCAGGCTACAGCTTTAACCTAATCAGCCACAGTGCCTGACCCATACAGAGCCTTTAACAGTAGCAGGAATCCATCCTTTGTTTACTGAGATAGTTAGTATTGTCCGAAGAACCTATAATGACCTTACCTGAGAGAGTTGTGCAAGGACATACCCCAACCACCTCTCACTCTTTGTAAATCTATATCTAGGCAACAGCTATGAGATCTGGAAGGTAAACAACAAGGACACTTTGCAGTATAAGAAAAGTACAACACACACCAAAAGAACTGTAATATTTTTGTCAATTTACATGGGAAGAGATCTGAAGACTAAGTAAGACAATGGGTCAAAGGGATATTGGATCAAGGTAGAAGGAAAATAATGACAGGGACCAAGTGGTAACAATCACCAAAGACAGTGTAGGACTAGTTATCATCATGGGCAGTTGAACTAATTCAGTAATCAGAATTCAGCAATGACTAATTGATAAATATTCAAGAATTCCTCGTCATTAGTCTTGAACTGACAGTAATTCCTGAAAAGCTAAAATGCCACTACATTTACCAGTTACAATAGGGGCTAATGGAGAAAATTGTCCATAGGGTTTTGACTGGAATCCATCTCAGATGGACCTAGAGGGGCCCTAAGTCCTGTAGAGTCCTGTAGTTATTTCTCCATTTCCAGAAAGAATAATCTCAATAGTTACACTAGCAACCTACATTGATAACCTGAATCATGGAGTTTCCCTATATTGATAACCTGAATCATGGAGTGAAGATCTTTGGGTAGGAAAAGCCAAGTAGAAGTCACTAAAATGCCTCTGTCTACTAAAATATGAAAAAGCAATCTTACATTCTTGCAGAGAGTAGGGCCACCATCAAGAATGTGAGAGATGCAGGGTTATGATTTCCACCACATCCTCATTCAACTCACATATTTTGGCTGTGCAGAGAACCAGATAGATCTTGGGTAAAGACAGTGAATTCACCATAAACTTGATCCAGGATAACTCAGAAATGGTTTCTGAATTGCTGTTTCAGCAATGGCTTCATTGCTGGTGGGCAACTACTGGTTTGATGTATGCTTTCTCTATCCATACCCATTAGTGAAGACCATGTTTCCAGTTGGCAGAGGTGGTGATTCACCTTACCTATCTTACCTCAGAATTTGATATCAATATTCCAACCTTATGTCATAACCTAGCCTACAGGAATACTGATTGCCTCTCCATTCAATAGGACATTGCTGTAGTCTGTGATTTTAATGCTGATATCAAACTGATTGATGAGCAGGAGTTAGTATCTACTCCAAGAATCTTCACAAGACACATGCAGGCCAGAGGGTAGGAAGCAAATGCCATAAAAATTCAGATACCCTTCACCTTGGTGAAATTTCTGGTGATCTGGGGAGTCTCAAGATACCCTTTCCAAAGTGAACTTGAAAGCGGCTGTATCCAATCTTCAACTACTTAGAAAGAAACACGATGCTAAACAGACATCCTTGGATTTTCAATGCAACATGTACCTCATTCTGAACATTTTTTCTTTTCTAAAATAAGTAGCAGCAGACTCTCACTGGATCTCTGTTTTCAACTTCTTAACATCCTGAAGCAAGTGTGTATGGAATTCCATGGTGAAAGGAAACAGCTTCTCTGTTAGTTAGCCATGTCTGTAAGACTGGAGATTAATTTCACTCTAATCACTGCTTTAGCTGCATCCCTGAAGTATTGTGTGTTATTTCATTTTAATTTATTAAAAAAATTTCCTATTATATTATATGATCTATTCTTTGGACCCATGGCTTATTTAGATGTATATGTGTTTTTACTTCCAAATATTTTGGAATTTTCCAGATATCCTTTTGTCATTGATTCCTAATTTAATGTGAGTATACAATACATACATTATATATCCTATATTACTTCAACCTCTTAAAATTTATGAAGATTTCTATTATGGCCCAGTATATTACCTGTCTTACCAAATGTCCTATATACACATTAACAGGATATGTACTTCATAGTCACTTGGTAAAATTTCTATTAATTTCAGTTAGATTAAATTCCTGAGACAACAGGGTCAGTTTCCAGCAATGAATATGGATTTGTCTTTGTGTTTTTCAGTTCTGTCAGATTTTGTCTTATTATTAAAGCAGTCTTTTAAATGTATATATAGTCAAGATTGTATCTTCTTGATTTTCTTTTTATCATTTTTAAATGTCCTTCTTTGTTAACATTTTTTGCTGCACAGTCTTCACTGTCCAATACAAATATAGCCATTCCAGCTTTCTTATGATTAATGCTTGCAAGTATATATTTTCTATCCTATTGCCTTCAACCTATGGTTTTTTAAAAATATTTTATTTATTTATTTGATAGGTAGAGTTACAGACAAAGAGAGGGAGAGACAGAGAGAAAAGTCTTCCATCTGCTGGTGCACTCCTTTAATGGCCAGAGCTGGGCCAGTCCAAAGCCAGGAGCCAAAAGCTTCCTCCAGGTTCTCCATGAGGGTGCAGGGACCCAAGAACTTGCGCCATCTTCTATTGGTTTCCCAGGCCATAGCAGAGAGCTGTATTGGAAGAGGAGCAGCTGGGACTAGAACTGGTGCCCATATAGGATGCTGGCATCACAGACTCAAGCTTAGCCTACTACACCACAGTGCTGGCCCCAACCTATGTGTCTTTTTTTTGAAGATTTATTTTATTTATTTGAAAGACAGAGTTACAGAGAGAGGTAGAGACAGAAAGAGGTCTTCCATCTGCTGGTTCACTCCCCAGATAGGCCACAATGGCTGGAGCTGTGCCGATCTGAAGCCAGAACCCAGGAGCTTCTTCTGGGTCTACCACGTGGGTGCAGGGGCCCAAGCATCTTCTACTGCTATCCCAGGCCATAGCAGAGAGCTGGAAGGGCAGAGGAGCAGCCAGGACTAGAACTGTTGCCCATATGGGATACCAGCACTTCAGGCCAGGGCTTTAACCCACTGGGTTACAGCGCCGGCCCCTCTATGTGTTTTAATATTTAAAGCATGTCATTTCTACTTTAGTACATACTTGGGTCTAACAATCTCTAATTTTTAATTAATGGCTTAGTACTTCAAATTCAATGTATGTAGTGACATGATTGAACTTGAGGTTTATTTCCCATTTATTTTATTTACTCTTTGTTTTTCCTCCTTTCATGCCTCCTTTTAATGAAGAACTTTTTATCAAGTGTTCATTTTGCCTCTTTTGTTATTTATTGTCTATACTTTATTTACATTTTTAGGGGTAGGCTTATAAAATACCTATTGTTCTTATGAGCATCTACTTTCAAATAATATATCACTTTGCATTAAATTTTATAAGCTTATAACATTATACTTCCATTTTCTCCATGTTCATCCATTGTACTATCATCAAGTATTTTCCCTCTACTTATGATTTAAACCTCTTAATCCATTGTTATTTTTCATTAAATAATTATACAGTTTATAACAACTTTATTGATATATAATTTATGTGCCATAAAATTCACCCTTTTAAAGTAAAAAAACACAATTTTTTCTTTTTAGAATTTGAACAGTTGTAAAACCATCACCATAATCTAATTTAGGAACTTTTTCATCATGGTAATAATAAACTTCCTGTTCATTAGCAGTCATTACTCACTCCATTCTAAACTAACATCTACTGTCTGTCTTTGTACATATAGATTTGTTTTACTTTGGACATTTCACATGAATAGAATTATATGGCATGTAGTCTTCAGTAACTACCTTCTTTAACTTAACATAGTGGGGTTTTAAAAATATTTTTTATTTATATAGCCTGGACAAATTTCATATATATATATATATATATATAGAGAGAGAGAGAGAGAGAGAGAGAGAAAGAGAGAGAGAGAGAGATATTTATGAGCACAGTGATGCTTCCCATCCTACCCTCCCTCCCATGCTCCTATCCTCCCTCTTCCTTCCTTTTGTAATTTTTACAGTGACATACTTTATTTTATAATCATAAGCTTAACTCTCCACTAAGTAAAGAATTCAACAAACAGTAAGAAGGAAAAAACCCTGTTCTTGGCCCAGCGCTGTGACGTAGTGGGTAAAGCTGCCACCTGCTGTGCCAGCATCCCATATGGGCGCGAGAGACCCAGCTGCTCCACTTCCAATCCAGCTCTCTGCTGTGGCCTGGGAAAGCAGTAGAAGATGGCCCAAGTCCTTGGCCCCCTGCACCCACATGGAGACCGAGAGGAAGCTCCTGACTCCTGGCTTTGGATCGGCCCAGCTCCAGCTATGGCAGCCATCTGGGGGAGTGAACCAGCAGATGGAAGATCTCTCTCTCTCTCTCTCTCTCTCTGCTTCTGCTTCTCTGTAACTCTCTGTATTCCAAATAAATAATAAATAAATCTAGGGGCTAGCACTGTGGTGTAGTGGGTAAAGCTGCCACCTGCAGTGCTGAGATCCCATATGGGCACGGGTTTGAGTCCCAGTTGCTCTGTTATGGCCTGGTGAAAGCAGTGGAAGATGACCCAAGTGCTTGGGAACTGCAACCACATGGGAGACTGTGAGGAAGCCACACCATTAGCTGGGAGCTGGATCAGAAGTGGAGCAGCTGGGACTTGAACCAGCACCCATATGGGATGCAGGCATTGCCAGTGGCAGATTTACCCTCTATGCCATATTAGTCCCCTTTTTCTTTTGTAATATATATTTTGAAAAAGAAACTGGGCCATTAGCTGCAAAATTTTTCACGTTTTCAACTTTGCTGATTGCATCTCTGCAGTGTCATTTGACTTGTTCCTCTGTTCTCTGTATTTAATGTTCACCAGAAGCTAGATCTATAATCCATAGTCAGCTTCATTAGATTCAGGATTTTGGTAAGACTACTTTATAAGTTGTAAACTTTCTACTACACTGAATCAGGAGTCTTATGATGTCTGGCTTTTGCTCTTTTGGTTATAACAAATTGGATCATTTGGTCCAGCAGCTGTCAATGTAATTCATCCATTAAAATAATTTTTTAAAAACTCTTCACCACACCAGGCCATATGCTGAAAAATTATAGTAAACACATAATAAGTCTTGACTCATATATTAATCCTATGAAGTAGGTTCTGTTATTATCTTCATTTTGTAGATAACAGTGCTTAGGCACAGAGAGGTTAAATTATCTGCCCAAATGCACCCAACTTTCAAGTGGCAGGATTGAAATCAAGTGTTCTGGCTCCAGAGATTTCATTAGGTTTCTTTTTCTTTTTCTTCTTTTTTTATTCAGCAAGAAGCACATTTTCTTTTTTCTTTTTTTTTTTTAAAGACACATTTATTCAGCGTCATGATCAGACTATTACATTTAGCAATCAACAGCATGGGTGCAAAAGAAAAAAAAAAGAAAAAACTACATTAAAACCCTTTGTTGGAATGCTTTACACTTTCCACAGAACAGAAACTAAAATAACCTGTTATACAATTAGTCACAAATACAGTCCTCGAGTTTTTTTGCCCATACACATGAGTATTGTCTAACACATGTCTTCTTTGTAGCAGCTAGGCCCTGCCACCACTGTGCTTGGCTGAGTTCACAAATCTGTTGTAACCTGTAGCTTCCCTGTCACTTCTCTGGCTCTCCTCTCCTGCTAAGCTTTGTTTCCTGGCAGTTATTAAAATCTTCTGCCACTGCCATAGCTGCTGCTGCTGCTAGAACCACCATAGCCACCTTGATTTCGTGGTTTGGCAAAATATTGGCCGCCACCACCATAGGGGCCAGAGCTTCTGCCTCCAAAATTTCCTCCCTTCATGGGTCCAAAATTTGAAGATTGATTGTTGTAATTGCCAAAATCATTGTAGCCTCCGCTGCCTCCAAAATTGCTTCCATCATTACCAAATCCATTGTAACCATCCCCACTGCCACCATAACCATCTCCACCGCGGCTGCCGCTGAAGCCACCACTACCACTGAAGTTTCCTCCACGACCAAAGTTGTCATTGCCACCAAAACCACCTCCACGACCACCACCAAAGTTTCCAGAACCACTTCGACCTCTCGGGGTGGACGAAGCGCTGGCCATCTCCTGCTTCGACAGGGCCTTCCTCACTTCACAGTTGTGGCCGTTCACAGTGTGGTATTTCTGAATGACAATCTTATCCACGGAGTCATGGTCGTCGAAGGTCACAAAAGCAAAGCCCCTCTTCTTGCCACTGCCTCGGTCAGTCATGATCTCAATCACCTCGATTTTCCCGTACTGCTCAAAGTAATCTCGGAGGTGATGCTCTTCAGTGTCTTCTTTAATGCCACCCACGAAGATCTTTTTCACAGTGAGGTGGGCACCTGGTCTTTGGGAATCTTCTCTCGACACAGCCCTCTTTGGTTCCACAACTCTTCCATCCACTTTGTGTGGCCTTGCGTTCATGGCCGCATCTACCTCCTCCACGGTGGCGTAGGTGACAAACCCAAAGCCCCTAGAGCGCTTGGTGTTCGGGTCTCTCATTACCATGCAGTCCGTGAGCGTGCCCCATTGCTCAAAATGGCTCCTCAGGCTCTCATTGGTCGTCTCAAAGCTCAGTCCTCCGATGAAGAGCCTCCGCAGCTGCTCGGGCTCCTTGGGCGACTCTGACTTCGACATGACGGCGGTGGGAAGAGAGAACTCGACGTCCACAGGCAGAAAGGAGTAAGCCAACGAGCGTATCCCTCTTTTTTTTTTTTTTTTTTTTTTTTTTAAGATTTTATTCATTTATTTGAGAGGTGGAGTTACAGTGAGAGGGAGAGACAGAAAGAAAGGTCTTCCATCCATTGGTTCACTCCCTAAATGGCCACAATGGTTGGAGCTGCACCCAACGGACGCCAGGAGCCAGGTACTTCCTCCCGGTCTCCCACGTGGGTGCAGGGGCCCAAGTACTTGGGCCATCTTCTGCTGCTTTCCCAGGCCATAGCTAAATGTGCCTGGGAAGGCAGCAGATGATGGCTTAGATGCTTGATCCCCTGCCACCTGTGTGGGAAACCCAGGTGCAGTTCCTGGCTTCCTTCTGGCCCAATCCTGGCTATTGTGGCCATTTGGAGAGTTGAACTAGGGGATGGAAGGCTCTCTCGCTCTCGCTCTCACTCTTGCTCAGTATCTCTCCTTCTTTCTGATGTCCTACATTTCAAATTAAATAAATCTTTAAAAATATGAATTCAAAAAATAAAGAGGGTTGTAGGAAATTTTTTTGCATCTACAATACCTAGCCACCAAACCAACAGGGATTTTTTTTTTTTCTGACAGGCAGAGTTAGACAGTGAGAGAGACAGAGAAAGGTCTTCCTTCTGTTGGTTCACCCCCCAAGTGGCCGCTACAGCCAGCACGCTGCGCCGATCCAAAGCCAGGAGCCAGGTGCTTCCTCCTGGTCTCCCATTCGGGTGTAGGGCCCAAGCACTTGGGCCATCCTCCACTGCTTTCCGGGGCCACAGCAGAGAGCTGGACTGGAAGAGGAGCTACTGGGACAGAATCTGGTGCCCTAACTGGGACTAGAACCTGGGGTGCCGGTGCCACAGGTGGAGGATTAGCCAAGTGAGCCGCGGCACCAACAGGGATTTATAAACAATGAATAAGCACAGGGGTGCCAAGGTGACAATATTAACTGAAGGAGACCTGAGATTAATGAGTTAAATGTCCCCAGTTTTTTTTTTTTTTTTGACAGGCAGAGTGGACAGTGAGAGAGAGAGACAGAGAGAAAGGTCTTCCTTTGCCGTTGGATCACCCTCCAATGGCCGCCGCTGCAGCCGGCGCACCGCGCTGATCCGATGGCAGGAGCCAGGATCCAGGTGCTTTTCCTGGTCTCCCATGGGGTGCAGGGCCCAAGCACCTGGGCCATCCTCCACTGCACTCCCTGGCCATAGCAGAGAGCTGGCCTGGAAGAGGGGCAACCGGGACAGAATCCGGTGCCCCAACCGGGACTAGAACCCGGTGTGCCGGCGCCGCAAGGTGGAGGATTAGCCTATTGAGCCACGGCGCCGGCTCTGTCCCCAGTTTTTTTAAAATACAGATTTAATGATTGTATTTACTTACCAGACACAGATTTTCTTTTCAAGATATTTATTCATTTGAAAGGTAGAGTTAGAGAGAGAGAGAAAGAGACAAAGAAAGAAATCTTCCATCTGCTGGTTCACTCCCCAAGTAGCTGCAATAGCTGGGGTTGGGCCAGGTTGAAATCAGGAGCCAGGAGCTTCTTCCAGGTCGCTCACGTGGCTGGCAAGGGCCCAGGAACCTGGGCCATCTTCTGCTGCTTTCCCTGGTGCATTAGCGGGGAGCTGGATTGAAAGTGGAGCAGCCAGGACATGAACCAGCGTCCATATGGAATACCGGCAATGCTGATTGTGGCTTGCCCTGCTGTATCACAGCACCAACCCCCAAACACAGATCTTGATAGTCAGCTGTTATCTACCAAATACATCAGTAGTTTCAGTGTGGCTTTCAAGGCTTTTCTTAATTAATCCAATAAAGTTTTCATGCACTAATGATCCTACTGCACACTATGGGCCAGCTATTTTGAGTTTTTCCATCCTTGGGCTGCTCTCCTTCTGAAATCACTCTTTACTTCTGTTTTACTTCTGTTTGTATAGATCCCACCTGCCTTTCAGGATTGGTTAAATTATCACCTACTCAAATAAACCTTGTGCAAAATTTCCCAGTCATAAGTATCACACTTTTCTCTGACCTCCCACAAAATGTTCCTCTTTAATGACACACCTAGACTTCCTACCTACATACTGTCTTTTTTTTTTTTTTTTTTTTTGACAGGCAGAGTGGACAATGAGAGAGACAGAGAGAAAGGTCTTCCTTTGTCGTTGGTTCACCCTCCAATGGCAGCCACGGCTGGCGCGCTGTGGCCAGCGCACCGCACTGATCCGATGGCAGGAGCCAGGTACTTATCCTGGTCTCCCATGGGGTGCAGGGCCCAAGGACTTGGGCCATCCTCCACTGCACTCCCGGGCCACAGCAGAGAGCTGGCCTGGAAGAGGGGCAACTGGGACAGAATCCGGTGCCCCAACCGGGACTAGAACCCATTGTGCCGGCGCCGCAAGGCGGAGGATTAGCCTAGTGAGCTGCGGTGCTGGCCTACATATTGTTTTAAGTATCTTAAAACATTGAATGTAAGGGCTTTAATGCTAAGGTCTGACTCCTTGTGTAACCCTTCATAACACAGTGCTTTGGGCATAATATGTGCACATACGTTTATGTTAAAATATAGTTTATAAAATTAAAATGTGCTCAATGCTTTTAAAAATAATATATTGGGGCCAGCATTGTGGCACAGCAAGTTAAACCACTGCTTACAATGCCGGCATCCCATATGGGCACTGGTTTAAGTCCCAGCTATTCCACTTACGATCTGGCTTCCTGCTAATGTGCTTGGGAAAGCAGCACAAGGTAGCCCAAGTGTCTGGGCTCCTGCTGCCCACATGGGAGACCTGGATGAAGCTCCTTGCTCCTTTGTTCCTTTGGTCTGGTCCTGCCCTGGCCACTGTAGCCATGTGGGGAGAGAAACAGTGGGTCGAAGATCTGTCTCTCCTTCTCTCTCTCTAATTCTGCCTTTCAAATAAATAAAGCAAATCTCAATAAAAATATTTAATAAAGTACTGCTTTTAATAATATATCTCAAATATTATATACTAATCTTATTTTGTGTAAACTATTTTTCAACAATTTTTTTATATATTTGATCCCCTCATGGTTCTTATAGCATTCAAAACCATTATATATTACAGATTTGCTCTTTAAATACCATTATTAACAACGTAATTCAGGTTCCATGGTTGTGTCTTTTGTTTTATAGTTGTAATTTTCAGTTGTTGTAATTCAACTGTAAATGCACAGAAACATGTTAAATGACATTTCCTGTTCTTTTTTCTAGATCTAGCTTGTTCCATTCTACCTTATTCCCTCTGGCACTTACAAGGACTTTTTTTGCAATTTTGAACATTCCCAAATAATTCAAGATAACCCCCAAATCAAATGCTTTAATTTAAACATAGCTTCAAAGACCCTTTTACAAAATAAGGGAACATATTCATAGATTCATAGATCTTTTGGGGGAACTTTTTATTATTGCTCCCTAGATTAAAATTTCCAAATGTATTTGTATATGATATGCCTAGTAGTCTTATAACTATAGATGTATAAATACATACACCTATTTATTTCCTTTCCTATGGTTAATATTCCTTTCATATTTGTTGTTCTTTTTTTAAAGTTTTATTAATTTCAAAGGTAGAATGACAAAATGAGTGAGATTGGTATCTTCCACTTGCTGGTTCACTCCACAAATGACTTCAGTGGCCAGGGCTGGCCTATGCTGAAGCCAGGAGGCTGGAACTCCATTCAGATCTTTTACATGGGTGTCAAAGACCCAAGCACTTGAACTGTTTTCCACTGCCTTTCGAGGCACACTAGCGGGAGCTGGATCAGAAGTGGAGCAGCTGGGATTCAAACCAATATTCTGTTACGGGGTGCTGGCATCTCAAACAGCAGTTTAAGTGACTGTACACAACACTGGCATCTTGTTCTTTCTTTAGCCAAAAGTATGTCTATTGGTTTCCAAATCTTGTTTGGTTGTTGTTTACATAAAATCTATTTTTAAATTGCATTTTTAGATCTTGGAGTTTTTTTCCCTTTCTTGGTTATTTTTTTCTTGAGTTTCCTTTGCCGCATTCAATATCATGAATATTTATTCTTGTGTTTTTTCTTTTACAAGTTTTAATTTTTGTTCTTACTTTTATGTCTTGAAACATTTGGGGTTAATGTTTGTATACGGTTTGAGGCAAGGATTCAATTTAATGCTTTTGCATGTGACAACCCAGGTATCCCAGCACAATTTGCAGACATACTGATTCTTCATTTGATGTTCTTGACACCCCTACTGAAAATTAGTTGACCATAAAGGCATGGTTTATTTCTGGATTTTTAATTCTGTTCCGTTGGTCTATGTCTTTTGGCAGTACTCCACTATCTTGATTACTATTGCTTTATAATTAAGTTTTGAAATCAAGAAATTTGAGTCCCCCTATTTTATTCCTTTTCAAGATTATTTATTCTGGGTTCCATGCAATTCTTTATGAAGTTTAGAATCAACTTATCAACTTCTACACAAGAATCATCTGGAAATAAGGATTGTATGGATATGTAGATAATTTGCAGAGTGTTGCTGTCTTAAATCTTCTAATCCATGAAAATGATGTTTTTTTCATTTATTGATTTTTTAAAAAATTTCTTTCAACAAGGTTTTGTAGTTTGAGTACTTTTTTGGCTGTTTTGTTAAATTTACTATGTGTTCTATTTATTTGGATACTACCATAAATGGAATTATTTTCTTAGTTTCACTTGTGGATTGTAATGTATGGAAATATAACTGATTTCTACGTTAGTGTTTACAATCTTGTATCCTGCAATCTTGCTGAACTCACTGATTCTTAAGTTGTTAAATGTGATGCCTTAGGATTCTCTATGTGCACTACTTTTCCATACACAATGTTAAGTTTTTGCCATTGCTACCTTGTTTATAATGTCCTGTATAATGATAGATAGAAAAGCTGAAAATAGGTCTTGTCTTGTTTCTGATATCAGAGGGAAAGCATCCAGTCTGTTATCTTTCAGTATGATATAAG